CATGAACAGGCGGGTTGGGGGATCGCCAGAAATCCAGTGAAGATGTTTAAAATAAAGCAGCAATTAAGCCAAGTTATACAGGAGGTGGCGGGGGAGGGTGGAGGAGACTGGGAGAACATGCAGATGGGAGAGAAAAGGAGCAAGCAGAGGCCTGGGGGCCGCTGGAAAGGCAGAGGGGAGGTGTGTGCCCGGGTGGGCGCCCCGCAGCGCAGGGAGAAGGGGACCGGGAGAGACACGAGTGATAACGGCAGACACGGCGGAAGCTCACGGGTGATGGGCCAAGAGCAGGAAGGCGGCTGCTCAGGGTGAAGACTGCTGGGCCGGCGGAGGGCTGAGCCTTGGCAGGGGTCTCCAGGAGCGTGCACACGGTGTACCACAGCAGCGCCCGTGGTCGGCCGTGTGCTAGCTGGGTGGGAGGAGGGAGGGGGCAATGGCATCACCAGTGAGCAGGGCAGAGCCAGCTCCAGTCCTGGGACCACTATCCAGCCGGGGCCTGCCAGCCACCAGGGTAGGGGCGGCGGGGACCCTACGGATGCAGGCGCTGAGCGCCCATGGTTCAGGACTCATTTACTAGTGATCGCTAAGATGCTTGCCCCCACTGCATTCCAGCACCCGGATCGGATTCTGAGTCAGTGCAGGAACTATGGCCTGGCCTCAGGTCTTCTGGGTGAGATCACAAGGGATGACTCCACACCAGCTGTTCACCTTTTGTCTTTGCAAAATAGGGTCCCGTCCTACCAGACAAGGGGGTGAGGGCCCCCTAGAACAATCACATGAGAGTGCTGTGCATCCCTTACCGGGCTATGCAAACCTGGGGGGGCGCACATTATTATACCAGGCGAATGGGGCAGGGATGGCACCCACTGGATTAGACCTTTACCCACAGATGTTACTGAGGCTGCACAATCACCGGCCCTCCAGTGCCCCCGTGCCTGCTTGGACAGGCCCCTCAGAGCTCAGGAAACTACTAGAAGGTGGCCTGTTACCCTAATCACCCAGAGCCCTGCAGCATGTCCACAGGCTCTGAAGAGATTCCCTGGGCTGGACGGCGAGGCTTGGGGTCAGGCTCTGCTGGAGCCCACAGGCTGTGCTGCCACGGAACCCAGGTCCTCAAGGAAGACCTGCTATCTTTGGAGGGAAGCCCAGGGGGCCTGCTGTGAGTTCTCCTTCCAGGAATCCCACAGGTCTTGATAGCCTCCATGTGCATCTTCTGTCTCTGGGCATCACATGTGGTGAACAGGTGGTCTGTGGACAGTGAAGGGGGCCGCCAGCCCCAGATGCCTGCACGCCCAGACATCACCCCTTTGTCACTTTTCAGCATGACTGTTGCTCCCACCATATTGCCTCCAAGCCCCACACTAGACATTCTACATGCGGTGTTATTCCCACAACAGCATGGGCAGATGAGGAGTCTCAGATGTAAGTGGCCCGAGGTTTCCAAGCTAGCAATGATGCACGTGAGGTCTGACCCCAGGTTCCTGTGCTCCCAGGCTCGTCCTCTGAGCAGCACCCCCTCTGCTGGGAAACCCCTCACAAGGAAAACCAACCAGGTATTGCCACATCCTTTGGGGAACCCCTTTAACCCACAACGAAGGACGTCAAGAGCCATGCCCCGGGGAGCTGTGCAGACTAGTGGTCAGAGGGGCAGGATGGCAGGGGACACTGGCGGCAGGAAGCTCAGGGGTGCGGGGTGGGGGGGCTGCGCTACTAACCAGTTACCTGTCCCACCACTGAATCCTTCCTTTCACCTGGCTCCGCCTTCAGCTTCGCATCGCCTCACAACTCAGGTGGGATGCACATTCCGACACATTCGTGGAGGAACACGTTTTCCATTGGGCCCTGAGAACGTGATGTGATGTTTTCCCAGTCTCTAATCAACTGACACAGAATGCCAGCCCTGCACGTTTCCATCATTGTGTAGAGTGTCTGGATGACACTAGTCAGAATATGAGCTTCCAGGTGGACTGTGGGTGATGTCATATCCCGTTCTGTGTAGTCAGGTAAAGCAGAAGATCAACCGTCTCTGTCTATGTCTTTATGATGCAAAGACCAGTGAGGGGCTCCAGGCAGTGACAGTCAAGCTCATGGTCACAGTCCCTGGGTGGATAGAATCCGACTGCTTTAGGTCAAGCCTTTGTGCCCTCAACAGAGACACACGTGTGACCAGCAAATTAGCTGTCCACTGGGCCCCACAGTTTATGCGTGTTCTGTACGCTGGCTCTGATTATTGCATGAGTTAAAATATGAAACAAGCATGCATGCACATGCACACACACACATATACACACACATCCCTAGGTTGTAACTACTAGTCTAACTACCTGATCGTAGACATACGGTAATGTTCTAGTGGTGGTAATTTTTCAGATGTTGACAAAAACGCAACCAACCCTTCCGCCCTTTGAAATCAAGTTTTCAAAATTAATCAAGAGTTGTGTTGGTGTCTTCTCCCCCAGCCTCTATTGTCTGTCTCGCACTCTCGCACACAGGGCCACACGCACATGCTCTTACACACGGAAGGAGCAACCGTGTTTGTAATACCAACCAGGGCAGCTCTCAGTCTCAGGCTGTAAAGCCACTGCTTTCTTCACTGGTAAGTTCCACGCGGACCCAGCTTCACAGCCTCCGGAATAGACCTCCGACAGCCTCTGGGCAGACACTTGTGCAGGCCTAGCATGGATTAGCTTCATGTTCTTAGGGGATGAGTTGGTGTTTTAAAAAACAGCACGAGGGGTGCCTGGGTGGCTCAGTCGTTAAGCGTCTGCCTTCGGCTCAGGTCATGATCCCGGGGTCCTGGGATCGAGCCCTGCATTAGGCTCCCTGCTCGGCAGGAAGCCTGCTTCTCCCTCTCCCACCTCCCCCGCTTGTGTTCCCTCTCTCGCTGTGTATCTCTCTTTCAAATAAATAAATAAAATCTTAAAAATTATAAATAAAAAATAAAATAAATTAAAAAATAAAAAATAAAAAAACATCACAAGGGGAACAATTCCAGGTTCAGATCCCAGCTTTACTCCCACTAGCTGTGAGACTTCACACAAGCTATGTAACATCTTTGGGTCATAATTTCCTCCAATAAGTGGGAAGATAAAGGACCCCCCAGAGGACTGGAGCGAAGGCTTTATTGAAAGCATCCAGCAGAAACAGAGGCAAATAGTTGTACCAATAAAGAAAAGGGCCAGAGAAGGTAAATGCTGACCCAAAGCCATGCAGACGAGGCACCCTGCAAACATAGGGATGCACTTGCGCCTAGCAGGTGAGCTCCCAGATCCCCTTCCCCGGCATTTAAGCCTAGGAATTCCAGGCCTCACTTCCTGGACCACCTGGGGCAGACCAGCTGCTTGCCCTCTGCAGGCCTCTCTCTCAGCAAGCCCCCTGAGGGCACCTGGCCTGGCTAGACTCTCAGGGCCCGTGCTGTGCCTCTAACTCTGGATTCACACCCCCTGGGTCACAGCGGGTCGTCAAGGTTAGACGGAAGGCAGAGCAGGAACCTACAGCCAAGATGTGTCCGCCACACATAGAGGTACCTGGTTTCCTGGCAGGTGAAACCCAAGCAAGCAAAGACAGTGACCTCTTTGTTTGAAATCCACAGAGGCAAAGACTTCTCTTAGCTCACTGTCTCACTATTTTCTCTGTTAGTGCCAAGAAATTACTCATTTTATCTATAAATGTTCCCTATAAAATTGAACTCACTTCCTTGTTATCAAACCTGCAGCAACAGGGAATGAATTATCAGAGTCTACTCAAATAATTCATGTTCCCATATCCCCCCTAAGCCAACCAGGGGCAACTTAGAGTCAGCATCCTTCCGATCTGGAAGAGGTCTCAGGCAGCAAAGGACCATCTACTTCTCATTTTGCAGGTGATAGAAGAAAGGTCCAGGAGGGTAAGCAGCCTGTTTTTATTCTCGTGGGCCCTAATTTCTCTTTTAATCATTACTTTCCATTCTGTTTTTCTCTCATCACCAGTTTTACCACATGCTTTTATTATTTTTTTAAGATTTTATTTTTTTATCTAATCTCTACTCCCAATGTGGGGCTCAAAGTCATGATCCCGAGATCAAGAGTTGCATGCTCTTCGCTGTGAAGTGTGCAAGACTGTTGAATCACAGTTCTGTACCTCTGAAACAAATAATACATTATACGTTAAAAAAGAAGAAGAAGAAGAAGAAGAAGAAGAAGAAGAAGAAGAAGAAGAAGAAGATCGCAGGAGGGGAAGAATGAAGGGGGGGAAATCGGAGGAGGAGATGAACCATGAGAGATGATGGACTCTGAGAAACAAACTGAGGGTTCTAGAGGGGAGGGGGGTGGGGGGATGGGTTAGCCTGGTGATGGGTATTGAGGAGGGCACGTTCTGCATGTAGCACTGGGTATTATGCACAAACAATGGATCGTGGATCACCACATCAAAAACTAATGATGTAATGTATGGTGACTAACATAACATAAAAAAAAAAAAGTTGCACGCTCTTCTGACTGAGCCAGCCAGGTGCCCCTACCTCATGCTTTTAAAACGTAGGGAGAGGCGCCTGGGTGGCTCAGATGGTTAAGCGTCTGCCTTCGGCTCAGGTCATGATCTCAGGGTCCTGGGATCGAGTCCCGCATCGGGCTCCCTGCTCCTTGGGGGCCTGCTTCTCCCTCTGCCTCTCTCTCTCGCTCTGTCTCTCATGAATAATAATAAAAAAAAAAATCTTTAAAAAAAAAAAAACGTAGGGAGAAAATCTGGGCATAATATATCTGAAATACTCATAGTTTTTTTAAAAATGCCAAGCCAACTCCACTGGAGTGATGCTAGAATTTACCACAAAACTAGCTGTGACCCCTGTCTCTCTCGTCACCAAAGATCCCTGGCACACTTACTACGTGCCAGTCACTGCCCTGGGCACAAGGGATATAACACTGGGAGACACAGTCCCTATTATCAAGCCCTGTCCAAATTAGAAGGCGGACAACCATGGACACAAATAATCACTAGATAGATGTGTAAATGAAATACAGCTAAAATATTTCTTAAGCATTTATTTTGTTCTGGGCACGCAGATCAACTCATGCAATAATCAGGGGAATGTATCAGGTACACTGGTAGTATGTGGGAAGGAATGAAAACCTCTGCTTGAGGAAATTAAGAAACCATTCCTAAAGGAGAAGCTATTTCTGTGGCCATTAACGGGAGACAGTTCTTCAGGCAGATGAGGAGATGGATGGAACAGAGAGGTGGTGCCGGAGCCCAGAGGTCTGAAGCATGGGGTTGGGTCAGAGGCGGTGAGTGATGAGGCGAGGAGGGGCAAACGAAGGACCCTTCTGCCAAACTCGACCCTGGACACCGGCCACCGCAGGGTTCCCCAAGGGCATATTATGGACGTGTTTTATTTTAGAACACTCCGTCCAGCAGTTCAGGGCGCGCAGGAGAAACATGCGAACCCAAGCTGGGGCCCGAGTCTTCCAAGTGAGAGATGATGAGGGACAGAATTGGGACAGCAGCAGCGGGGAAGGTGTAAGTGCCTTGGGGACCGAGGCACTACGGAGGTAGAATTTACACAACCGTCACAAATGACCCAAGGTTTCTGGGTTGGGTGACCCGGTGAATGGTGTGGCCGTAGGCTGGCAGGGCTCAGCAGGAGAAGCTGATCTGAGCAGACACAAGATAAACTGTGCTTTGCATGAGTCCGGGTAGAAATGCAGGTGCAGATACACGGGATTGAACATGGGAACATGGTGCTGAACAGAGCTCTGGAGGCGGATCCCGCAGGTCTATCGAAACGGACATGGGAGGCCTTCCTGGGCTGGATCCTAACCTTCCTCTGGGGTTGGACACCCTGTGGCATGGCAGAGAGATGAAGGGCAGAAGAGAGAGATGTCAGGGGTGTTTCCCCAGATAAAAGACGCCTCTGTTTTAATTGTTGGACCCGGGCTCCAGCTTTGGCTGGGAGACAGCCCAGCGATCGTGCAAGTATTATTTTTCTGGTGTCTAATCAGCTTTCACGCATTTATGCACAGCGAAAATGACTCCCAGGTTCCGTTATGTGTGTAAATAGGTGGGTAGCTCTTTTCCCCACAAACTCTGTCTCCTGCTAGGTTTCATAAGAGCATCCCCCAAAATTATACTCTGCTAACCTTCCCCAAACACGTAATCTGTAGGGGACTATTAAGCGCACATACGCTTAGAGGCGAGAGACTGCGACAGAGAAATCCCAGATTAGGAGGCCACGTGGGAAAAGAGAATAGTTCATCCAAAACCTATAGGAAAGTGGCACCAAAAGGTTGAAGCTAAGTGGGCTGATCTGTGACAGTGTCCCTAATCCAATGGAAACGACGCAGAGGCGACAGCTCGGAAGAGGGGTTCAGAGAAACACGCAAGGCAACGATGACTCGCCATGAGGCGTGAGAGTCGTGGGGGTATGTACAGTGTGTACAAGCATGAAAATCGGGTTTAATTAAAACAAATGCATCCTCATACTTCACAAAACATCCAGACCCAAACCTACCGGGCTGTGTGGGACGGAGTCATGCACGTGGACGGAGCGTGTGCAGAAAGCCTTCTGAACACACCCAAACGACTCAGTTGGCTCTGTCTAAATGACCCCCTGTCATGGTGGCCGTGTCTTACCCAAAGGCATTTCTAGAAAATCAGCCAAAGATCCTGATCATTTTTTCGGCCAAGGAGGAGCACAAGGTGTTTACCGTGGTGAGGTGCCGGACAGGGAGAGAGGGACCGAGAAATATATTCAATTCATGGGATTCTCTGAGTCACTTGGCCTGACCAAGTGGTGTGACAAACCTCAGTTGTACTTAGTCGGGAACTTCCTAGTGAATGGGGAGCTTTAAATGTTTTGAAGCGATTAACAGATCAAAAGCAAAAAATCGCATGAATATATCTATAGGAGGTAGAAAGTCATTTGACAGAAATTCTGCATCCAACATCCACTCCTGATGCTGCTGTTACCAAAAGTCCTGAGGCCAGGCTGGCGAAGGAGGTGAAGCTGGAGCACAGGGGGCCCCACAGACCGTGGGGAGGGTTGCCTTACAGTCGGTGGGAATCCCGCCCATGGCTGGGTACAGGTGCATGATGGAGCCAGGTTCGAGTTTAGGAATAATCAGGCTGATGAGGTCTCCTGTCTCTTCCCAAAGGCCAGCACTTAAGTAAGTGAGAAAACAGAAGAAGCATCCCCACAACATCTTTATCATTGTTACTGTCATGACATTCTGGAAGTATCAGGCAACGCCGCCGTCAGATGAGGAGAAGACGAGGTATCACACTTGGAGTGAGGAGGTCAAGTCACCATTAGTCGTAACTGATCACCTGAGGTGCTTGAAAAAATAATCTGAAGAGCAAGTATAAATGACGTAAGAAATCAGTACGGTAGGTAAGTATACAGAATCAGCGTGCAAACATCCTCTGCCCCTCTCTTTCTCTTCTTCCTCTTCCCATTCCTGAACAATTCAGTCCTCAGGTCATTAGATGGGGCCAGACAGGCAGCTCAGCCAAGGCCAAGGGCAGCACTGTGCTGGACCAGATCTTCGCGTCACCACCCGGATGCATGAGGACGGTGTCCACACAGGGGAGCGGTGGCAGCAGTGAGGGAAGAGAATTCCTCAGATTGCACAGGGGTAGATACAGCTGGACGGGTTTCTCACGGTCAGAGAAGAGAGTGAGAAAAGAAACACCTAGAGTGAACCCTAAGACAGTGGATTAGAATGATAGTGTTGGCATGAACTCCTGGTTTTGAATATAGATAAATATAGAAAAAACTAGAGATGTGAACATGTTTATACGTGTGTGTATGTCTCGGTCTCTCTACATAGGAAGACACAGAGAAAGAGATCAAGACTGAGATAGACATGTATTTGTCCAAAGATACAGAAGCTACCCCGAAGGAGCTCACACTTGCCAAATCGGGGGCGATATGAGCCTCATAGTAAATAGTGGCTGTAATGTATTACAACCTGTGAATAAGGAGAGCCAGAGTCCAAATTCAGATAAATCAACAAGTGAATAATTGGAAGTTTGAAGAGGAATAGAATGGATCAAACTACCTTCCCACAAATTCCTTGCTGCTCAGAAGGGGGAAAAGTGAAACTTTATAATGGAGAAAACTGGAAGACACTACTTTAATCAAATGAATGCGTGGTCAAGGTGGACACCGTCAGTAATAGGACAAACCTAACTCTCGGGCCATCTGTTGAGATGCAATAAGGAAAACACAGCACCATTTCTGTGATATTCCTCCCAATGGGAGGATCTAACCATGAGGACACATCAGAACAAACTCAAACCAAGACACGTTCTACAAAATAACTTGGTCATAATCTCTAAAAACACCAAGGTGCTGCAAGTCTTTGAGAGACCGACGAACTGCTCCAGACTGGAGGACACCAAGGACAGGGGCCACGGGTGGCTCAGGACCCAATCCTTTGCTACTAAGGATGCTATGGGAACGGCTGGCAAAATGTGAGTGGGGTTTGAGGGCTGCATGCTAGCAATGGACCCATGACCAGTCTGCCCTGGTTTGTAGGAAGTGCACACTAAATATTTAGTCAGGGTAATGGCTCTGGGAAAAAAAAAAAACAAGGCCGTTCTACTGTACTTGCAACTTTTCTGTAAGTTCGAGATCATGTCAAGATTTAAAAAGCAGTTTACAAAAATATCCATGGTGTTCACCATAGACAAGAAACTAGTCTAAAAAAATTAATGGGGAAAATAATTCCATTTACAAGAGCAATTTAAAAAAAGGATAAGCTTTGTTAAGAATAAAGTTAGAGGAAACGGGCAGGATCTATAATGGAAAGGAGTGGGAACCAGTCCTAAAAAGAAAACACAAAAGAAAACATATTTTATACCTGTTGTATCTTTTCAATGTTTACAAATTACATTTACTTTTTATTCAAGAGTAAATTTTAAAAATTGCAGCAACAAAGAGAGCACATTGAAGGAAACATGATCAGAACAAGGGTTTTCGGTGAGCCTTACTGAGTCCAGTGAAAGCTGTCCTAAAGAAATCTCTTCTAAATGAAGGGAAAGTTGCAGGAATGGACTCCGGTTGTTAAATCCAAAGCTTGTGCATGAGGAACAGCTCCCTGCCGCCTCATGAACATGTCATGATTCAACTCAACCTAGCCTGCAAGAAATGGATCACTCCCTATCCGAAGCCTCTGTGACCCTTTGGATGGCTTCCATGAAGCTACTTGCTTAATGGCTCGTGTAACACATTCTTATCTTCCTGCAAAGACTGTAAATTCCTTAGGGGCTGGAAAACGCGCCCTTGCCTGTCGGCCATCTAAGGGGCTGGTGCTTCGCACACAGTGAACATGAGACTGTGTGATGGTGAACTCATTTTCTCTTCTCTCTCTCTCTCCATCCACACTCAGACCAGATTGTTAATGGTGCCTCATCAGTTAAGAACCAAGTTGAGTGGCCAGGGAGTAAAATAATAGTAATTTACTGCTTCCAGTTTTAAAAAGAGAACTGGAAAGTTCAAATCGTCAGGCCTGCGTTCTGAACGCCATAGCTGTACCAAACATTTCCAAAGATGATTTGGCATTAATTTCTGTGTATTGGCATGTAGATATCCGCAAAGCATTTCTTGATTTATTTCATTATTTTACCTCTTTACCTATCCAATCTAGACTGGTGAGATTTCACACTTGAAGGGGAAAAGTAAAGAACTGTATGTACCCACTGCATTTAACGTTAAACATTTTAAAGTATAAAATAGCAAGTGATACCTGACAATGCACCAATTGCGGCATAAATGGGGGGCGCTAAAGTCCAGCCTCCTGGGCTCTGGGGGGGGAGGTGGTGGTGAAAAGCTACGCTCTGTATCAGTGGACGCCTAAAAGAATCTCACTTAAAAAAAAAAAAAAAAAAAGTAAATAGCACCCAAGCACATACAGATTGAGAATTAGACGTGAAAAGTTTCCAAGAGCACAGAAATGATCTTTGGAAGGAGAGTGTGCCTTTCATTCTGTGCTGTCAGGTGGAGCACAGTTGGTTCCTCTCACTGATGGAGCCGCGGGGAAACAAGACTCTCCCTGCCCATGAGGACTGACTGTGTGCCAGGAGGAGAGGGGTTCCCGCCAATCCCTCCAAGCGCCCCACACCCAGCTGTCTGAGCTGCCCTGCCAGGAGCGCCCCAAGGGTGGACCTTCCCATCTGTCCTCCTGCTGGCCCTCCTCCCACCTCTCCCTGCGGGATCCACCACACAGGTGTGCCCTGGTCGCAGCCATGAACATGAAGTCATCTGTTGACGACCTACTCTGCGCTCCTTCCTAGAAGAAAAACAGGACTGAAGACTTGATCATGCTCTTGAAATTGTTTTCAATCTAGCTGGGGAGCCAAAGTTCACACGGAAGCCTTGGAGGCACATCCCAGGAGCTACCCTGGGGAGGGCTGGGAGCAGGGCTGCCCTGTCAGGACAAACCAGGAGGCGGAGGCCTTGCGGGTCCTACTATGTTAACGCATTCTTAAGGCACAGAGCCCTAGGGAGCTGATCCTTGATCCAGAGATTTGCTTTAATGTATCATTTTTCACCAAGAAGCCACAACTCTGGCATCATGCCACAACTGTTACCAAGATACCTGTCAAATACGGTCCAGACCCATGATTTTACTACTTTTTCAACTCACAGTAGGAAATTTATTTTACAATAGACCAAATATACACACATGTCACTAAATAATACCTGCCCAGTCTGCTGGATTCACTCTGACCCTCTGGCCCTCCCGTCCTTCCCCTCCCCTCCCCTCCTCCTCCCCTCCTCTTCCCCTCCCCCGCTCTTCTCCCCTTCTCTCCCCTCTCCTCCACCTCCTCTTCTCCTCT